TGATATGTATATAATATGATGTGTGGATTTAATATGGATATAATATTAAGATACAAATCACAATACAAATTTATAATAATATCGTTATGGCAAGTTACATAATCTTAATAGCGTCATCATATAATTGCATATAATCTTGTTTGGTGATTCATGTTTGAAAGATTCAAGGTTCAAGGCAAGCTCACTGGATAAATACATCGGAAAAAATTTATTTCATTCAGTTGATGCAGGCCGCTTGAACGTTTCCGTGTCAATTTCATTCGTTATTCTTAGTTTGTGAAGATCTTGTTCAGTGATAGAAATCAGTTATTATAAGTAAAAATTAATGAAAACAATAGTGTCACTTTGCAACGGCGTACTTAATATTTGCCTGGGGAATTAAAATCCAACACGAAGGACGGAATTCTACATTGATGTACTCACTAATTTTTATTAAAACGCACGTTCATTTCGGTATGTACTTAAATTAAGTTTTTTTTTTAATATCTTGCAAGGTTGTATAAAAATAAAAACTTGTATTACTTAATTCAATATTTGATATAAACGGAGGGAGAAACTATCGATGTAATATGATGTGACTTGAAACGCTTGCTGGACCACATTTATATGTAAAAAGAATGGCGTATTGACAACGAAATTTTGTGTTACGTGCTATTTCTTTATTATTTGCTTAATTGAGCAGATATAATTTACTTATTAAATTCGTAAAGATGGAAAAAACCAATATCAGTTTGAAATTTTATACGTAGAAACATATTTTCCACTTTTTCAACAGCTTATTATTAATTAATAGAGTTCACAATTATATCCAGTTTGAAATTTTATACGTAGAAACATATTTTCCACTTCTTTCAACAGCTCATTATTAATTAATAGAGTTCACAATTATATTAACGAGCTTCTTTACAAGTCTCTAAGTTTCTAAGTAAAGTCTCCTGCTAAAGACTCATCAACTCTAATAGCACAATTCATTAGCCATATATTGGTCCAATATTAGTTATATTGGCATTCATTGCGTAAATGTTACCCAATATAAAGTAAGCCAGACAGTCTAACTTGTAGAAGCAGATTTTGCGTAGTATCTGTTATAATTATTGTCTACAGCTTGCTAGTAGGAATATAACTATTTTGCTAGAATATAACAGGATAGAGCATGATAATATTGATCTGAGCATGATAAGATTAACATGAGCATGATGACGAATTAATCAATTGACGCTTAGTTTTAGTGATGACAAACTTTCAGTTTCTCATCAATTTGTCAGATATTGGTTATTCTTCAGTTAATACAAAGTTTTTAAATATCAGTTTCTTAATTTAAGAAGACTTCTTAGTGAGATTCACAGTGAGCTTCCATAGACATTCCTGCTCTGCGATCAGGATCACCTTAAATATCGGTCCAGTAAAGAAAATCAGATTGCAAATATTATTATAAAATTCAAAAGGTGTGACTTACCGAAACAAATTCGATAGTTAAGTCAATAATCATAGTTACATCATATCATGCCAATAATTTCTTTGTACANTTTAAATATCAGTTTCTTAATTTAAGAAGACTTCTTAGTGAGATTCACAGTGAGCTTCCATAGACATTCCTGCTCTGCGATCAGGATCACCTTAAATATCGGTCCAGTAAAGAAAATCAGATTGCAAATATTATTATAAAATTCAAAAGGTGTGACTTACCGAAACAAATTCGATAGTTAAGTCAATAATCATAGTTACATCATATCATGCCAATAGTTTCTTTGTACACTTATGAAAGATATTGAAATACTTAGATGAGCTGGGTATTATTTTTGCAAACTTTCTAAATTTTTTAGTAATTTTAAAATAAATTTCCAATGCGTAGCATGCATGGAAGAAATCTGCGTAAGAAAGTGTTGGAGTTAAGGAAATATAAAGGAACATATTTGGATCTTATATTGAGAACATTCAAGAACTACCGTTGTTTCGTCGAAAAGGTTACAAATACGTCCAGTATGTATAAGTTATGTGCTAGCGGCTTCTTTAACCCATTTGCATTATGACTCTACTTATGTTTCTGTGTTCAGACATCAGCGGCGTTCAACTGACGGTTGGCCCGTATTACCGCGCGCGGCCGTATATCGGCAGTTTTATTATTTTCGTTAACTTCTACAGTACACTCGTTCTACAATACACAGTCAACTTCTACAGTAAATGACTTCCGAATAGCTCGTAGAGTTTATTTAACATGGTATTTTTTAACATGATCGATTCATAATGCTACATCGCAAACATTAACAACAAAATGTGAATTGTCATATACGGAATATTCCGCGAGCGGTGATAAAGGAAAGTCGCGGCTCGCGGAATATTCCGCTTACGGATATAAATGGGTTAAAGAAACATACTATTTGTTGTGACCCAATAATGGAATTAATTAACATATTTGTTGACGATAATTTTCTATATTGTCATTAGAATAGTCAACATGAGAAAATGTCATAATTAAATAAATAATAAATTTTAATTTTTTTTTAACAGTTATAGTAATAAAATTATAAAACAAAGCCATACAGGCAATAATTGGCACACAGCATAATCCAGGAACGCTGGTTCGGCCGAAGAAATCTGAACGTTCTCGAACGATACCGTCGGCACGTGTTAAGGATCTAATCAAGGATCATATCGTTATAAGTAATTTTTTTCAAATTTTTTCATATTATATTATTATATTTTATGTTATCAAACTGCTAAGTCACCTTACGTCATCAAATATAC